GTATTTCGAGTTTTGTCCCGACTAATTTGTCGGATCGCATACCTAATAATAGTGAGTGAGTTTCACAATAAGAATTTTCTACATTTACAAAAGCTCGAACCCGAGACCTTATTTAAAGCGACATCAATTTGACTCGATAAATAAATATAAGTGTTCCAATTTGGCTCGAAATTTGAATTAGAAATATATATTTAAATAATTTTATGAATATTCAAATGACTGATATATATATATATATATATATATTAGGAAATAGGAAATAAAAAAAAAATATCTTGTTTTATGATAATGTACCTAATAATGCAGGCAAGGTAGAAAATGACGTTTAATGAAAAGGATAATTAAGAAAAAATGAATTATGAAGCATTTATTATGCAAATTGGTCGGCCGGCATAGCATGTGCTCTTCCATTTTCCTTGTTTTCCTAAATATCAGGAATTTAATATTTAAGAGAGAGAGAGAGACTTTGAAAGCAATCAAAACAGTAATGTTAAGGAGTCAACTGTTGGCTCCATTACGGAGTCAATAACCAATGAGACAGCTTCATGTGGGGTTGTCCCACATTGGAGCCATATGGGACAATCTCACATGGACCTGTCTTATTGATTGTTGGCTCCGAAACAGAGCCAACAATTGACTCTTTAGCATTATTTAACAATCAAAATTATTGACAACATGAGATTTGGACATGCACGAACCATCTTCTAGAAACATTAATTAACTAACGGATATAAAATTAATAAGGACTATAATGAAATTATTGTTATAAAATGCGAGGAATATAAAGAACACAATGTCAAAACAGGATACAAATCAAACTTTTCTTTCTTTCTACTTCTTTTTCCGTACCCACATTACATTGATTTGGCCCCTTTTATAGGTGAGTGGCACATCTTTCAATACATAATGATAATAATAATAATATGAATGATAAGGTGTAGTGGTTAATTCCACTTTTACACAACACTCCCCCTTAGAATTACCACTATTAAATGTGCGTTTTATGCTGCCTCGTTAAAAACCTTATCTGGAAAAACCCTGTGGGAAAAAAACCGAGACAAGGAAAAAAGAGTACAGCCGCACATACTTCCCCTCGAGTTATCATCCGTGCAAATCCCGAAGATGTCTCATCCCAATATTGTGCACGTGCTTTCGAAATATTGTCGTCGGAAGCGCCTTCGTAAACAAATCTGCTGCATTATCGCTTGATCGAATGTATTGAACTGTGATTTGTTTGTTTCCTTCAAGCTCTTGCGCATATAAGAATAACTTTGGCGGGATATGTTTAGTTCTGTCATTCTTGATGTATCCTTCTTTTGTTTGAGCGACACATGCTGCATTGTCTTCGAATATCACCGTCGGGTCATTATTATTTGATAGTCCACTGGCTTGTTGAATGTGTTGAGTCATGTTTCTGAGCCAGATGCTTTCCCTAGTTGCTTCATGAAGTGCAATGATCTCGGCATGGTTTGAAGACGTCGCAACTAACGTTTGTTTCTGGGAGCGCCAAGAGAATGCAGTTCCGTCAATCGTAAAAACGTATCCAGTTTGAGATCTTGCTTTATGGGGATATGAGAGATATCCTGCATCTGCAAAACCGATTATTTCATGTTTTTTATCGTTAGAGTAAAACAGTCCCAAATCGATTGTCCCTTGGAGATAACGAAATATATGCTTAATTCCATTCAAATGTCTCCTCGTAGGTGCCGAGTTATATCTTGCTAATAAATTAGTAGCGAAAGATATATCTGGTCTGGTACAATTAGCAAGATACATAAGAGCTCCTATGACACTCATATATGGTATTTCAGGACCAAGTATCTCTTCATCTTCATCACAAGGTCGAATGGATCCTTTTCGACATCTAATGTTCGATTGACCATTGGGGCACTAAGTGGATTAGCCTTGTCCATATTGAATCGTTTTAGAATTCTTTTAGTGTAATTAGATTGATGGACAAATATCCCATTTTGGACCCGTTCTATTTACAAGCCGAGACAATATTTGGTCTGCCCGAGGTCTTTCATTTCAAACTCGCCTTTTAGTAAAGTGACTGCTTCTTGAATTTCATTTGTAGTCCCAATAATATTAAGATCATCGACATAGACAACAATTATCACAACTCCATCTTGTGATCTTTTTATAAAAACACACGGGCATATTTGATTATTTATGTATCCCCGTTTCAGTAATTGTTCACTCAAACAATTATACCACATACGCCCGGATTGTTTCAAGCCATACAATGATCTTTGCAGTTTTATCGCACAGAACTCTTTAGGATTGGACTTTAGCGCCTCGGGTATTCTAATTCCTTCTGGAATTTTCATATAAATGTCAGCGTCTAGCGACCCATATAAGTAAGCAGTCACAACGTCCATAAGACGCATCTCAAGATTTTCATGGATGGACAAACTAATCAAGTATCTGAAAGTAATTGCATCCATAACAGGGGAATATGTTTCATCATAATCAATCCCAGGCCTCTGGGAGAATCCCTGTGCTACAAGGCGAGCTTTATATCTTGTGACTTCATTTTTCTCATTTCTTTTTCTGACAAAAACCCATCTGTACCCAATAGGTTTTATGTCTTTGGGTATAATGGTTATAGGTCCAAAAACCTTTCGTTTATTAAGCGAATTTAACTCGGCTTGAATAGCACCTTTCCACTTGTCCCAATCATGTCTTTTCTGACATACAATCATAGATTTTGGTTCAGGGTCCTCAACTTCTTTGTTAATTTCTTGTGATACCATATATGTGAACGCATCATCAATGATCTCATCACGCTTCCAAAGTTTCCCATTATTTACGTAATTGATGGATATTTCAATATTTTCATTTTTTCCCGAAATTTTTCCATCATTTTGATTCTTTTTCAAATTCGAATCTTGAATTTCTCTTTTCTTTCGAGGATTCTTATCTTTAGACCCCACTGGCCTTCCTTGTTTCAAGCGTGCCTTTAATTCATTTGACACATCGTCATTTGCCATTTCTTTTGTA